TATCACAATTACATTTTCTCATAATAATTAGTAAATTAATAGTGAGAACCCCTTTTTAGCCACAATGACTCCATAAAATCATGATGATTAGTGTTATTAATTTGTCAATTAAATACTTAAACACTTGACCACTCAAGGGGATCCCAACTAATGATCCAAAACCTGTACAACTAAGGATAATTTAGATATCAAACATTCATTCAATCAAACACATAGTGTGCATGTGTGTGTCAAATCACAAATGTATATGAAAAATTATAAGTAACACGAGTGATTTGTTGACGTAGAAACCTTTATTAAAAAAATCGTGGGGAACTTTCTCAAGTCACTAAATTCTAATCCACTACCCTAAAGTCAGTTTACAAGTACTCGAGTATTATACCTTAACTAATATCATGGTTAGATGCTCATTTCCTTCAATAAGCCTCTCCATTGGATAAACTCACCAATGTCTTGATTAGCTTTACTTGGATTGTCCACCGCAATGGATCCTCTAGGCCTCGAGCAATCTTAGACGCACCAACAATCCTCAGTATGCACGCTTAAATGGGTTTGGTCTTCAACCAATCAAGATCTTTTTTACCAAGTCGTGAGGTTGGATAAAAATCACTAGATGGTAGCTTTGGGTCTTAGGGATCTAGGGTTGTGGTAAAAACTCTTTAGGTAGAAGATAATATTTTTTCTCAAAATACTCATAAGAAGCTTGCCCTAGGTTTAAAAAATATTTTATCTATTTATAGGTCCAGAATAAGGTCAATCTTTTTTTTTTTTTTTCTGTAAGTAAATAAAGTCAATCTTAATCAACAAGAAAACTCAAATTCATGAATGACTGGCCGTTCGGATGGGGGGGGTCATATGGTGGTGGTCAATGGAATAAAAACAAGAATTCAAACTGACCTAGGAGAGCAGGTCGTTTGAGCGATCATGAGACCACTTGAGCAACTCCAGAGGGCGAGCTATAATCTCCTCCTCTTGACATTTTCCCTTTTTTTTTTGCCTAAGTTATATAGGTTCTGCTCCAGCGAAGGCTAGTAATCATAGGGTAGCCCATAATATTTTTTTAAGCTTAAAATCACTTGTCATCTTGAACACTAAAAGGTATTACTTATGAGGGATTCTATAAGGACTCATTCTTATGTTTTCAAAACACACAAAAGGTTAAAAAAAAAAATTCTTTGAAGAACACCTAGGAGCTATTCTCGGATCTAATACCGATTCATTTTAACATTAATCCTTCTAAGTTTATTAAATCAATGGATCATCTTAGGTATCTAGGTCATTATATTGTCCTAAGCATGAAGGTGCATACAAAGTGCATATGATGTAACTTTGACGCTTGATCTCCTTCTTTCAATTGACACTTTCAAATTTTTATCGTTATAACATCATAACCACAGAATAGGGGAAAATTTACAAAGAACTCTACAAAATTAGCCAATTACAAATTATGATCTAACAAATATGAATTTGGGGGTCTAAGTGGGATCCTTTCAACTAAAAATACTTATTTAATCTCAAAAGTGAAAAAATAGTTGTGCCAATGCCGGATAGAGCTACAAAAATTTTCTATTAATATCACCAATGCCAGCCAATTATTATGGTTTATGTGGGTCTTCATATTATCTTTGAAATTAGTGTATTATGTTATTTGATCAAAAATAGATGTGAACTCAGCTTGGCATTGAATTACACAATTTGGGTTTAATTACCAACTCAAACTCAACTTTAATTTTAAGTTAACTATTTATTTGGGCCTTCAACTATTATTTATGTCAATTAGGCCTCTGAACTATACTTTATATCAATTTAGCCCTTAAATTATATCATTTGTGTTCATGTGGTTCTTCCGTCCAAATTCGCCATTAATTTCAACAAAATTCCTCAAGCATGCATAATGTGACTCAGAGATTAGATTATAGTTTAGAGATCACGTATTGTATATGTGAGGAATTCCATCAAACTTAATGATGAATTTAGACAGAGGGTCATATTGATATAAATGTTATAGTTCATGGGGCCAGAGACAGAACTTTGAGGAAGGCCCCCCTTAAATTTTAGAAATTTTTATTATCCCCCTATATTTTCAAAAATTTTTATTATTAACCTCTCACTTTTCAAAACACCGAATCTGTAAGTATCTAACCCTAGTTAGGGGTGTCTATGGGCCGAGCCGAGATATGCTCACAAAATTCTTTTCAAGTTGGGTCTGGGTAATGTAGATTCAATTCCTTACCCAAGTGAGTTATCTGGGCAAGCTAGGCCGGGTTTCGAGTAGGGATAGGCTACCGACAGCCCAACCCATGAATCTATTGGGCAGGCTTGCTAAGTTGGCCTGCTCGCTGGTTTTTTTATATACAACTCATTTAAAAATAATGAATATTTTTGTAATTTAATATTTATGTAAATTATATTTTTGAATCAAAAGTAAAGTCAAAATGGATAAAAATAAAATAATGTATAATTTTATTTTTGATTAGGGGATAAACTACTACCAATAGAATGAATACATATCAACTATGTTGACACATACTCACTTATTTATCATTTGCATTACTCTACCTTTTAAAACTTATATACTTAATACATGAAAAAGAAATAATATGTTATTTATAGTATTTAAATTTTTAAAATTTAAAATTTTGATATTGAAAAACTTATTTCAAAGTTTCAAATTTAATAGTCTAAGGGTTTATTTGAATGAATTTTGGGGAGGGATTTGAATTGACTTTTCCAAACCCAAACCTCTCTTTACAAAGATGAGATTCAACATTCAATTCGGTTCATACTCATGTTTAGTATGCAACACATACACATGTAGGTCCAAGAATATATCATAATTATTAACAACTATTTTTTCTGTAAATTACTATTTTACCCTTAATCAATTTAATTCTTAAGGGATACAATTGTTTTTTGCATCCTTAACCTTTTATCCTTTACCCATCTTCCCAAACCCATCCCTCTCTTAGATTTGACGAAATCTATGATCATGAGTTTAATCTTTGGGTCAATTACAGCTCGGGTTTGAGAACCCGAGATTGAACTTTTAATCCAAACATAGGATTTGAGAGTCATTTGAACTATTTTTCTCAAACTCATCTTGCCAAGCCCCTCCATACCCCCTTACCAAACAACCCCTAAAAGTATAATTTTTTATCAAAGGAAGGGTGAGCGCGCTCTTGAGCCGAGTTTTAATAGGTTTTTTCGAACGGCTATTGGGCCAAGCCTTGGGTCAGATAATGAGTTTGGGGGCAAACTCAAGCCCTCTTTTTAAAAATATTGGCCCTGGCTCAAGTGGAACAACTATCGGGCTTATCGCGTTTTAGACCTATTTTTTTCGAGCAGGATAATGGGACCCGTGGGTAACTCGTCCCATAGACACCCCTATATTCAGAAAGATCAATGACTTAATAATTAGTAACCATTTAAGATGTAATCACATGAATGAGTGACGTTTGTATTGAGGAAGACAATGATTGGATTATTTTGATGATGTAGAGAAAAAACACAAGTGATTTTTTTTATAAAAAAAATTGGGAGATAAATATAGTTTATATCTAAAGTAGTTAGTTGACTTATACTTTATTTTTATTATGGTATCCTATAAAACGATTATTTGTGACTCTTAATTTATTTATAGAATTAAGGTTACATTATAAACAAGAAAAAAAGAGAGGAGATTATCCCAAATGAATTTTTATGATGACATGAACCACTTTCGAGTTTTGTGTTCAAAAATAATTTTTTCGATGCCATTGCATAAAAATTAAATTTAATAGATTTTTTATAAAATAAAAATTTATAATTGACAATGATAGTTGAATAAACCTATTGAATTATTACACACAGATTCTTTGAAGTTTGTACACGCGTAACACTTAGACCCCCTGCTGTAAATATATATGTTAATAAATTATACTTAGACCCCCTGAAGTTTGTAAGTGTATAATACTTAGATCTCTTAAGTTTAAAATATTATACTTAGACTAAAAATACTTCAATTAAAGATAGAATATCAAATATTTTAAATTTTACAACCAAAATTAAAGTTCTATTGTATCATTTATTGAAATACAATTAAAATTAAAAGTTTAATTTTTTCTTAAAAAATCGTAATTAGTATACAATTATACTATCTATTGGAATAAAACTAAAAAATTAAACAAATGGTCTAAGTCATTTGTAATAGAACATTAATTTTACATCCAAAATTCATGTTCTATTATGTCATTTATTGAAATAAAGTAAAAAAATAAAAGTCTAATTGTTTTTAAAAAAGTCATAGTTAGTATATAATTATATTATCTATTAAAATAAAACTAAAAAATTAAACAATGGGTCAAACTGTAATGGACACAATATCTTTTAGCTTTAATTGGGGTAGTTTTGTATTTTAATTTGGTCCTTTAAACGACCAAATTAAATTCTAATAAACAATATAATTGTATATACTAATTATAATTTTTTAAGAAAAAAAATTGAATTTTTATTTTTGATTTTATTTCAATAAATGATACAATAGAACATGAATTTTGGTTGTAAAATTTAAAATATTTGATATTTTATCTTTAATTGGAGTATTTTTAGTCTAAATATAATATTTTAAACTTAAGAGGTCTAAGTATAATTTATTAACTAATATATTTACAGCAACAGTTAAGTGTTACTTGTGCACAAACTTTAGAGGTCTGTGTATAATATTTTAAATGTTAAGGGGTCTGATTGATTAAATGACAAACCTTAGAAAATCTCGGTGTAATTCTCCCTAGATTTTTTTTTTAAGATCATGCAACATGGGTTGAACATTGGATTTAATTTAGACCAAAGGAAATTGTGTTGGCTCCTAAATCATCTTGCTCAAATTTCAATTTGATTTGAATTTAGGAAAAACCCAACCCAGATATCAGATAGTTCGGGTTGGAGTAGGCATGAGTTCGGGTTCGCCCGCGAAGTCGTAGTCCTAGCCAATGGCTCTGTCACTTTCCCCCACACCCCACGCCATGGATGGCGAACTTAGGTCAGATGACGCGGCGACTCAGTCGGAGGAGGTGGTGGTGGTGGCTGATGATGTTGTCGCCGCGTCGACCTTGTCAGAAGTTGTGGTGGCTGATGATGATGCCACCCCAATCCCACCAAAAGTCTTCATCCATCGCGAGCTCGGATCACTTGACACAGCGGCGACTCTGGCGGAAGTGGTGGTGGCCGATGATGATGCAATCGCCGACGGTCATCCTCACTCTCGTAACCATCAAATTCCATCAACACTGGACACCAAGGTACACTCTTGTTGCTTTGAAATTTCATATCCTCATAAGCATGCATGAATTTTCTTTTCTTTTTGACTTCCTTTTTCTGGGCATTTCGGTTTTGGTACTTCGCTAATGGGTTCCATTTTTCACGTTTGCATTGCACTTTGTAGCTGGAGCAATGATAGTTGAACTTGATCATGGAGAGCACTTTGAATTTGTAGCTTGCTACTTTGTATTGCTTTCACTGTACTGCTTTAAATAAGGTTTTTTTTTGGTAAAAGCTAATTCCTCAATAAAATTCTTTTATTTATTTAAAAGGGCAAAATGGAAAAACAAAAAACCGTACTTAGGGACATTTGCACGCGTTCTCATCGTAGTTTAAGCTGCTGCACTAAAATTTTCACAGTAAAAACATCTTTAACCCAGCTCTCCAAAATAACTAGTCAAAATATATTTAATTATTACATTCTCTACATTAGCTTGCCACTTTTACAAATTCATTTCAACCACGCTCTATTTTTGCTAATTACTACATTCAACTTTCATTAACTTTCAATAATTTAAATGAAACAACAAATATATAGGGAGAGATAGAGGTAGGGAGAAAATTTAGAGAGGCTAAATGACTCTCTACATTTAGAGAGCCATTTGGGAGAAAATTTTGTGTTTGACTAGCAAAAATAGCTAAAAGAGAGGAAATTGAGAGTGGGTTGGAGATGCTCTAAGTATAATCTACTAAAAACATGTGTAAGACACCAAGGATGTGTTTGGTATTGTTTTTGTTTTTGTGTTTTCAAAAACATAAAAAACAAATTTTTATTTTTTTCTGTGGTAAAAATAGAAAATAGAAAACATGTTTGGCAGTTATTTATGTTTAACAAATTATGAAAAAAAATAAAAATATATTTGGCAACCAATTCAATTATCAGGGACACTCTTTCTTTCATTTGCTTTTCTTTGAAAATGCTATGCTTTCTTCTAAACTCATCAATTATCAACCAACATAAGGAAATAGGAAAACATAAGCACTTTTCTATGCATATACACCCTTAGATGCTCATTAATCATCATCAACCTCACGTGGTTTGTACTCTGAGTAGTATGTCCAGCTCCCGACAATATCAAAATGCACTTTTCTTTTTGGTTTTTTGAATAACAGAAAATTGAGTATATTATTCCCAACAAGTTACTTGAGACATGTTGACAAATTCTGAAGGAATTAATCAAAACATAAGGTTTCCAAGACACACACACACACACACACCCACCCCCCACCCATCCAGAAACACACACACACACACACAAATCAACAAATATACACACAAAAAAACACAAAGACACACAAACGCACAAAAACCCACACAGACACACATACACCCTTAGATGAGGTCATGTCAAGCAACATATTACAATATATATGTAGATCTATATATATATATGCATAGATTTATGTATATATATACTGCAAAGGTAAAAAAATTATCTTCCACTAATAGATGAGGTCGAGTATGAGATTCAAAGAGGGAGATTATGCTAGATCTGAGCTTGAGAAATAGAGATGAGGGAGAGATAGAGATGATCTGACCTTCGATTTTTTCGTTTGGTAGCGACATGGACGAGAGAGAGAGATAGACGAGCTTGAGAAACAGACGAAATAGATAGATGTGGGAGATAAGAGGGCTTTTATAGTTCCAACAAAAATTCGTGGTTTTGGTGCTAATGGGGTTCGATTTATGGACCTCATTAAAGGCCCCCTTGGTGCGTGTTTCCATTTTTTGTTGTTTTTGAAAACATCAATTTTTTGTTTTCAAAATTTGGACTTGTTTTCAAAACAAGGTAGTTGAAAAAAAACAGAAACAAAAAAACAAAAATAGAACGGTTACCAAACGCAACCAAATCTTCCAAATTTATAACATACAATTTTGAAACTACCCTTGTTTCTTCTCTTTTTCTTTCCACTCATTCCTTAGACACCCATCTCTCTCTCTCTAAGAAAACCCACCATCCTTTCTCTGTCTCTCTGTGCAAACCCACCATCTTTCTCTCTCTCTCTCTGTGAACAAACCCACCCATCTCAAAACTCCCTCACCCCTTATCCCCACCACTTACCACCCAAAAACCTCAATCCCCACCCACCGTAACTCCTTCCTTCCCTAAATCTCCTTAGCTCACTCTCTTTCTCCTTCTATTAAAGCCTTTAAAAACCTTCTATGCCATCCTTCTCTTTCTCTCTCTGTGCAAAGCCCTTGCCAGAATCTACCGCAAACATATCACAAAACCTGGCCCTGAAAACCGATGAAAACCTGTAATCCTATCACAAAATTTGACCCTAAACACCGATGAAAACCTATCTGAGACCATCGCCCATGCCACTTCATTACATCTGCACCCATTGCAACCGTAAGTTTGAAACACTACACTAATTCTCTCCCAAATTTACGGTTTGGGATTGGGCTTCTGTTGGGTTTGCTGTGTCGATTCAGGTGGTCGTAATTTGGCGCACCACTGATGTTTATGCTGGTTTTGGGGATTTTAAGTTTATGAGCACAAGATGATCTTATTGAAATTGAAAACAAATGATTGGGAGAGGGAGAGGTAGAGGGTTTGAGTTAAAAAATGGCATTCCTTTAAAAATTGAATGTAACAATGAGGGTATCTACGAGAAGGTTGCGCAAATGATCCTAAGTAACTTTTTTTTTTTTTTCCATTTTTCCCTATTAAAAAACCGCTTCATATTTTAGATATGCTTGTGTAATATTCTCTCTCTTTCTCAGTTCTTTTTTATTTCCTAATTTTATTATTTCTTTTTTAGGGGAAATATTTTTTAGCAAAATTTTATTGGATATTCTATACTTCTATATAAGTAAAATACATTAGCTAGTGAATGTGTTATGTTTCTTTGGCTTTCTCAAATTTTAGTAATTGACATGCATGAGGACGTTATGTGTATTTTGAGGATGGATCCTAGATTCCATTAACTAGTAAAAACCAAGTTACAAACTCCAGGATTAATGTGTCACAATCGCAGATTGAAGAAGTAAAAGTGAGACTGAACCAATATTTTAGGACCACCATCACACGTGTATTTATATTCTTACACCTATATGTTGATCTTTTAAGTTGTCTTTTATCTTTCTCCAGGAAACAAAGTTATTAATTAGGTCAAAAGCTGTTTCATATACTAGATATGTTAGTCTAGTATTCTTTCTCTTTCTCTGCTCTTTTTGTTCAATTTTAATATTTCTTTTATATTGGAATTTGTTGTGATTCAGAATTTTATTAGTTTGAATTAATAATTCCTGTAGTTAAAAACCAGTAATGGGATGGAAGTTATTTATTTGTCAAAACTGTGTAAAGTTTAGTGATATGTAATCTTATTTCTCTTCTTTCTCTCTCTCTCTCTAATATAATATATAATATTATATATATATATATATGCGTGTGTGTATATATAGTATTCGACTCAGCTCAACAAAACCTTGTCTTAACATTTTGGGGTTGACTACATAAATCTGTTTTTACCATTGTGATCTATGAAGGGCCATGTTTTCTTTAAAACTTTAAGTTATCATATATTTCTT